GGATCTAATTCAGATCCAAAACTCTAGCTTTGAAGGGGTGTGGGGAATGGTGTTGAGTGCCAGTCCACTCTATCACAGCCCAAAACACATCCCGAGGCCAGACCCCCTGCTGCCCCTACTTGCCTGCTTCCGGGGCCTCCTAAGATGCTCCAAGCATCCCCTGAACCCTGCCCTGTGCTTCCCCAGACCCCCATCACATCATGTACCACACTGGTAAAATTGCCTGTTTACCTGTCCATCTCCTTACCCCACCCAGTGTAAGTCCCTTGAAGATATGAAATGTATTTATCTAGTTCAAGGTCACCTTCCTAAGGTCTATTATGGGGCCTGGGGGATCCATCTAACCAGACTGGGAGAAGGCAGCAAACCTACTCAGCCTAGGAGTAGGAGCAGTGGAGGAGAAAGAGGCAGAATCCCAAGCTATTTAACCTCCCCGAGCCTCAGTTTCAACACCTGTAAAATGGGGGCAATAACACTACAGATGTGGTGGGGTTTTGGAGGAATCTGAGAGAACACAGGCATTTAGTGTGTGCTCATCAATTCCTCCTTCCCCCACAGGTTTTATCACAGGTTGTAGAGGAGCTGGGTTTCCCTGGGAACCCAGCCCTGAAGAAGGCCATAAAGTCCATGGTGTCCTGGGGCCATAGGTGGGTCAGTCACTGGCTCACAGGAAGAGGTGCTGCCTCCTAGGCCCTCCTTTTCACTTGAGAGTTTTTCCCTCAAAAGTTGGAACCAGAAGAGGCCCTCCTTCCACTCTAGGCCTGCCAGGCTTTCTGGCAGCAGAGCTTGTGGTCAGCAGGGCCTGCAGGCCTGATCCTGCCAGATGACTAGATGTACTAGTAGGTAGATGACTCTTGAGGACAGTGGTCAGAGACTGTGTACTAGGGACTTTTGACCAAGGTGAATCCTACATCCTGGGTCAGTCCAGGTTTATGCTGTTCTCTGCTCATAATTACTAATAATGCTCTCTCTTACTCTCAGGTGCCCTATTTGCCTACTTAAGCTGAACATACATATACTATGATCCAGGAATTTTAGGTATGTGCCCAACAGAAATGCACACCTTTGCTTATCAAGACATATTCTAGAATGTTCATAGCAGCAGTAATTGTATTACCTCCAAACAGGAAACTACCCAAATGCCCTTCAAGGGGATGGATAAATTGTGGTTCATTCATACCATGTCAGCTACATAGCAGTGAGCATGAACAGTCTGCAGCCACACTCAATAACGTGGATGAATCTCACAGACATAATGTTGAGTGAAAGAAACCAACCCGGGAGAATACACACTGTATGACTCCATCCGTATAATGTATATAAACAGGTGAAACTAAATGATGCTGTTAGAGGTTGGGACAGTGGTTACACAAGGCAGCTGGCAACATTCTGCTCTTGATTTGGGTGCTGGGGACACAGTGTTCACTTTGTGAAAATTTGAGCTGAGCACTTACGATCTGTGCATTTTCTGTATATATGTTATTTCTCAGTAAAAAGTTTACTTTTAAAACTTCCCTGATTTGGACAATTTATAGGGTTTATAGGGTCACCCAATGACACTTGACAATTCCTGATTCTCTCCCCGCTGCCATCCACTTTCCATGTTGGGCTGGACATGCCATGCCATACACAGTCACACCCCCACTGCTCCCATTTGGAAAACCTCAAATAAGCCAATCACTAGCCATCCACACTGGTCTTTCCCTCTTTCTAAACACTGCAGTTGACTGAAAAGCAAGAGGTAAAATGATAAACATGCTGGCTAGAGAGATGTTGTGAGGAAAGAAAACTTGAATCCCCAGGGAATGCTAAGGGATACCCCAACCTACCACAACCTTTGCATTTCCAAACCAGGACTGAGAGATTGTCAGGGAAAGAAGTAACACACACACATCAAGAAGAATTTCAACAGTTCAGGTGGAAATGAGCTTAACTTTTAGCTGTCCTAAAAAATAAAGGTGACCCCAACGCCTCATTACCTGGACATTCCTGTTGGGTTCACTGATGTTCATTGAGCTTTCCTTGAGGAAACTGTATAACCTCAATCTGATCATTGGAAACTGCTTCTTGTGGCAAAGACTGGGTCTCATATCAACCAACGTCTCTGGGTCCGCTCAGACCTTGGCCAACCTGGTTGATGTCAGGGTTAGACTCAGGCCTAGAATAGCTTCCTCTCCCTGGTGCCAGCAGTCCTCCACCTCTCCAAATCCCATCAAGGGCTGCTCAAGCCCATCTCCTCCAGGAGACTTCCCCAACCGCCTCAGGTTCCCAACTTCTCACCTCTGACCTCCTTCAGCACTGACTAAGTCTCTCTTTAAGCATCCCACCCCTCGATATAAGTTTCAAGAGTGCAGGGAACTTTGCTCTATTCACTAATTGTACCCCAAGAGTTTGGGGCAGTTCCTGGCACATAGTAAGCCCTCAATGAATACTGAATGAATGCTTTTTGCCTAATGTCATCTCCTGGGTTATTATTCAGCTTTCTCTCGTACATTCCTGGTCAAGATTCCCCTAGACATGAAATTTGCTGGGACAGGGATTGTCTTCATCTTTTTATCCCCACTGCTACTCACCCCTCTTCCTAATACCTATTGAAAGAGGCAAAGAACAGAGAGCGTGAATTGAGAACATTTGTAATCCAGAAAGCATGGAGGTAGAGAATTATTTGGATTTGACGGTGTGGGTAATCCTGGAGAGGAACAGCCTACTATATTTGCCTACATCTTTATTTATACCTGCCTCCTTCCAGAGAGGGTTTGAGGTGGCTTACAAAAATACAAGGTAAAAAAAACCAAGTCGGTGAGGAAATCAGGACGAGGGGGAAAATAAAGAGTAGGAAAAATATCAAATTGGCTTGCTAGAAGTGGGCCAAAAAGTTTGGCCGAATTTTTCCACAGCCCGTTGGGGAGGAAGTTCCTCTCTATCTCCCCCTCTGGGAAGGCACCCATGAATGGACGGGAAAGGATGCCCCGATGTTAGGCGCGTCCAGGGGAGGGGGCTAATAAGACCCTCCCCGTGCCCTCCTGAGCGCCAGCCCCAGAACCTAATACAAGAAGCCTAGGCAGCATTGGGGAGGGCAGGCCTTGGGGAGGGTTGTGTACAGGGGAAGGGGCTCTGGGGCGGACGGCCCAGACGTGGGGGACTGGGTTGATAGCAGGGACCTGTGACCTGAGGGTGGATAGGTGGGCGCTGAAGACGCGTTGCTCCACTCAACGCTGCAAAGGCTCCAGAGCGCGCCACTCATTGCCCTCCAGCCAAGTCTTCTCTCGCGGCCTACTAAGCGCCCGCGCCATGCGCAGGGCACAAACATGGAGGGAGCCGCGCGCTTCACCCCGCCCCACCCCCACCCACCGGCTCCAGACAAAGGGGCAGGCCGCCCCTCCCCCAGCCTCTCCCTCCTCCCTCCTCTCCCCTCCCCTCGGGCCGTCCTTCGGTGACTTCCTCTCCCCTTCTGGGGCGGCCCCTGGACTTCTCAGGAACTGCGTTTCACCTGGGCGCGGGGCGGGGAACCAGCGCGCCGAGCGCGGCCTCCGGGCCCACCCTCGGGCCGGGCAGGCCGCAGGCCCGCGCCCTCTCCTTTGAACCCGCTCTCTCGGCTCCCGGCGCCTTCCCGCCCAGGCGCCCCCGCCCCCACCCGGCCGAGCACGTGCTGCCCGGGGCCCAGGGCGCCATCCCGCTGCCCTGGGGTGGGGGCTGGGCCCACTCCCGGCTCTGTTCCCCACCCCCACCGGAAACATTCCTGAAACATTCCTGAAACTAGGAGGCCCGGCCCCTCTAGCTCCCCACCCCGCCTCCACTCTGGGCTCAGGGTTTTCCTAGCGTCCCCCTCCTGAGGAGGGGGCTGGGCCGGGACCTCGGCTGACCGGGGAGGAAGAAGGGGAGCAAAGAAAAACATGAGTCACAGCCGCCGTGTGTCACTGGACCACATTGTAATTCACTGCATCACGGGAGGTGTGGAAGGCCGCCTCAGGACCCAAGGGCGGGGAGGTGCGCCCAAGAAGGCCCCGGGCCCCGGTTTGCAGGGCGCGCCGCTCGAACTGCGCCCTTTCTTCTCCCACCGCCGTCCCCGCCATCTTTCCACTTTGGCTTCCTTCTGGTTTGTGCAACAAGTTTTTGTTGAGTCAGGCGCCGGGCGGCCCAGGCGTGGCGGGTGTGGCGTGCGTAAAATTCAGCCCCTGCCCTCAAAGAGCTTCCAGGCGACCCCTTGCCCACGCTTTCTTGTTTTAAAAAAACTCACAGCAGAGGGCCAGGTCACAAACTGGGACCACAGGTCCCAAAACACCACCCACGTCACCTAAAAGAATGACTCTTCGGATTGACTTGCGAACGAGTCAATCGTTTCTTTCGCTTGAAGGCTGCGCCTTGATTATGGCTCACCCGTGGCCATTAATTAAAACTCTTTGGATTTCATAAGTTTCACAAGACTTGTATTTCACCAGCCAGCCACACGCGGGTTGACACTGAAATGCACATGCCGACACCTGTCCGCCCAGAGGAGCTCTATGAGCCGCTTATCTGGGCGGAGGGGCGGCAGATAGGCCGCGGAATTTTCTAACAGGTTCGTTTCTCTCCACTCCCCTCCTTCACGCCGCGTGGAACCCGCAAGCACAAACGCCCATCAATACACGGAGGGGGCAAGACCCACATGCCCAGAAGACCCCTAGAGGTGACTATCCCGGGGACCCCAGTTTGGGCCGAAAGGTTGCCCTCCCCCTCGCACAAAGCTCCTTCCTGATTTCTCTGCGCTCCTAGCCAGCTCCCTCAGGTCGGGACTGTGAGGAGTGGGCCATACCCTCGGGTTCCCAGCCCAGGCCTCCCGCGCACTCTCCCCCAACGTCAGGGAGTGCGACACCCTGTCCGCCAGCAGCACCCACCCGAGCGGCCGCGGCTGGCGGGCGGCCGCCCTTTTAAATCCCCGGGCTCATTTGCATGGCCCCACCTCCTTAGTGACACGGCTGGCGCGGGCGGGCCCGTCCCCCCTGCCCCTGGGTCGCTCTTTTTAAGCTCCCCTGAGCCGGGGCTGCGCTCCTCTAATTGGGACTCCGAGCCGGGGCTATTTCTGGCGCTGGCGCGGCTCCAAGAAGGCGTGAGTTCGGGGCCGCTCCGGTGGCTTCCTTTTTTTTATATCTATAATTTAATTAAATTATTTATTTATTGAGGCCGCGCACGGGCCGTGCCCAGCTTCCTGCCCCTCGCCATCCTTCTGGGAGGGGGAATATCCCCCCCACTTGGATGTGACATATAAATACCCCGCGGGGGCCTGGGCGGCGGGCACGCGGCGGCGGCAGGCTCTGAGCACCTCTGCTCTCCCCTGGTTTCAGATCCGCATTTGCTACCAGCGGCGGCGGAGCCAGGCCGGTCCTCAGCGCCCAGCACCGTCGCTCCCGGCAGCCCTGAGCGCGCACCGCAGGCCGGCGGCCGAGCTCGCGGTGAGTCGTCCCCGGG